AAGGGGCAGCCATGAACTGTCAGAGCCAGCGCTCGCAGCAGTGGAGAGTGCGTGCTGCCCAGGGTTTAGGACCCCAGGTGGGGCACCAGCAGCCTGGCTTTCCTCTTGGGTTCCTTGCAGTGGCCCTGTGAAGCAGCCTGGCCGGGGACAGCAATTCCACTTCCCAGGAGGGGAAGCAGGAGGTGAGGCCACTTGGTCAGCGGAGGAGCTCAGTGTCTCCAACTGCAGAATCTAGTTCCCCTTGCTCCTCCCTGGAGCTCTCCAGGTTCAGGACAGAGCCAGAGCCCAAGGGGTGAGAATACCCGGCCTCCTTCGGAGAAGGCAACCAGGACAAAGGGGAGTGGCCACTGCTCCCAGATATGTCACCTGACCAGCAGCTTAGTCTTTGTCACCAGATGCCCACTCCTTTGTGTGGGGATATAGTTCATGAGTTCTGGGGACTCCTACGCCCCTGGCAGCTCTCCCTAGAGAAATCCAGGAGCTGTTTCCCCTCCACTCCCCAGGCCTTGCCCTTCACAGCCCAGAGTGGGTTCTAGGTCACTACTGATAAAACATGGGGTTTAGTTCAGCTCAGGAGACGTTTCTGGAGTCTCTACTACATCTTCACCCTGCAAGCCCAGGAGCAGCAGCACATGGGGCAGGGAATGAGCTTGCTGGGCTGAGGCTGGACAGGGTGAGTGGCGGTCTGCGTGGCAGCAGGACAGAGCCAACATGCTGAGTCAGCGTGTTTCCTAAGGCGGGACTGGATTTCAGCTTGTACCTAGAAGGCAAGGACCAGGCCACCTTTGTCTTTACTCCCGTGCCCAGCCAGACACCTCCCACTCAGGAGAAAGTGTAGGAACAAATATCGGCACAGAACAGCCCTGCAGAAGAGGGGCTGTTGCTCCTAGCTGGGAAGCCCTGGGGAGGCCGGCTGGGGCAGGCTGAGCAGGAAATCCGACTTGCGGCCAGTGGGCATGGCCAGGGTCTCTGTCGTGGCTAGAGCTGAGGTCCAGGGGGTCTGATGGGAAAGGCAGGGGCTCCATCCCAAAGTTACCTCTCCAGCAGGCTGCAGTGGCCTAGCTTTTGCAGACTCTAGGAGTAGGTCCTGATCCATGTCCCTGGCCACTGGCCTGAGGCCGTATGGACAGTTCCCACAGAGCTTTTCACCTGGGCAGGGCTGTGCCAGAGTAGGTGGCCCAGTCCAGGGATAGGGCTGGATGTCAAGAGAACAGAAATTGGCGGGCTGGGGGACAGTTGGTCCCAGTGCAGCAGTTTCACCCTGGAATAATGTGTTCATGTGGCACTTTGAACTTAGCCATTTTGCAGCTTTTTGCAGACGTTTTTGAGGGCACACAGGCTGCCAGGCTTCCGACTGGCCATACAGTGTTCTTTCATGGGGTGGCTGGAGCTGCTAGGAGATGCTGGGCAGGACCTTGCCACTGGGCCGTGGAGGGCACAGGGCAGCTACAGGGCCTGGGTGTGGCACGCCATGGGAGTCAGCATGGGGAGGGCTCGCGAGGGATGGGGCTTGCAGAACACACATCGCCCATTGTGGCCGCCACATTCCTTCCTTAGGAGGGCCTCAGGTGAGGCCCGCCACCAGCTGGGGCAAACAGTGGGTGGTTCTTGGCCTTCTCTCACTGGTTGAAATGGCTGAGTTTTGAGTCAGCAGCGTTCTCAAGGTGACACTGGCTTTGAAGCCAAGGAGCAGGTATATTTGAAGAATATGGGGGGCCCGGTGGCATTCTCTGGTTTGCCTGTGACGAGATTCACCAGCACTTCCTCGTAGATTCCCCCTGCATCACAGCAGAAAGGGCCCGATTAGTCCAGATAGCCCTGAACACCCTGACTTGGCAGGCAGGCTGGCTGGCCGCAGCCCAGAGGTGGAAGAATTGCCTGGTGTTGTGATGCCCACATGGGTGGAGTCTGCCCCTGTATTGCCTGTCTGACCTCAGCCCCTTCCAGGTCACAGTGAGGCAAAAGCCACACATCTGTGAAAGTTCCAGCTAATGGGTCCCCAGCGCCCTTGCCTGGCTGTGGCTAATGCATAATGTGGCTGACTTTGGGCAGCTGTGACAAAGATGCCTTAGACTGGGGAAACCTACAAACCACAGAAATGCATTTCTCTTAGCTAGACACTGGGAAGTCCACGATCCAGGTGCCAGCAGCCTTGGGTCTCATAAGGGCCCGATCTTCATAGTTGGCACTTTCTCATGCCCTTGCCTGGTGGGAGAGGCACCTGCGCCCCCTCCAGTCACTGTTGTGAGCCCTAGTCCCACGCATGAAGGCCCCTGCCATGACTTCATTGCCTCCCAGAGGCCCCACCTCTTCATACTTTTGTACTGAGGCTTAGCTTTCAACATAGGAATTGGGGAGGAGGCACAAATTTAGACCGTAGCACCATGATGAGTGCCCAGACCCACACAGTCATGGTGGCTCAAGATAGGCACCCCTCACCACCTGCACCTTATACTGGAGGAAGCCAGTGGGAAGCCCTGAGCAGGACTGAGAAGGCAAGCACGGTTGAATGCGCAGGCTGTGCTCCCACTCCGTCCACCTGAGAGGCCACAGAAACACACAGCCCTTCACATGACAGTTCGCAGAAAACACGGGCATGTGTTCGGGCGTCAGGCACACTGGTCTCAATAGACGTGGCTGGCACCCAAGGCAGTTGGCCTTAGTTCCCACTCAGTCACCCACCTAGAACTGGTTCACAGCACATCATCCGGCTGCTCTGGCCTCGGCTGGACGTGACTGTTTATTCTTACACACCATGGCTTCTGTACAGGCCGAGAAACAGGCTGCTCAGCCAGCATCGGGAGAGGTGGGCCTGGCTCCCTGGGCCTCTCCTGGCCTCTCCCTAAGCCGCCTCTATCAGGGCAGCCTGGCTGGGCAGAGCCTGGGACACACGGCTGAGGCCACCCAGGCTGGGCCATCTCGCCCCTGTTTCGTGCCCCCTGCTCAGTTCTCCTGTCCTGGCTCAGGTCTAGGCCAGTCAAGAGGGTGGCTGAGAAGCAGGAGCCACCTCAGAGACCCTTTCCTCAAAACCCCACCTCACACTCGGGAGCTGCTGGCCCGTCTCCCAGCCCTGTCGGGGGCAGGCAACAATCCCGGGGCTGTCGTGCAGGGGTCGCCATCTCCCACCCTCTCCCATGGTGGGGAGAGCGTGCTCTGTGCACACCCCCGGCTGCGCTGAATCCCACCGTGGCCCAGAGGGGCGGGCCTGTGGCTCCATGGGGGCAGCTGCAGGGAAGGGGCTCCCCAGCGGCCTGGGCCAGCATCTCCAGTCTCACGGGTGCCCTGCCCATCTCCCCAGTCCCTGTACACAGCACCTCCCAGCACCTCAGCCTTCAGCTTTCTCAGTTAATCAAAAGATTCCAAGAAAAGCAAACCCATCAGAACAGCTTCCTCCATGGAGTGTTTGGGAACAATGCGTGTGCCCACGGCAGGCACCTATACCTTCCTCCAGAGATAGCGCCTTTTATTTCCCGGTTGCTGAGGTCTGACAGCTTGCTGGCTGTGACAGCCGGTGGTCACCTGTATTTCAAAGAGACACGCAAACACTGCAGCCTTTGAAAGGCTCAAGCCCTCGAGACAGGTCTGTGGTCTTGGCCTTGGCCAGCGTGCAGCAAGGGAGGCGGGGGGTGCTCCAGGGCTTCGCTTTGCTCTCCCGGTCCCCACCCTCTGCAGGGAAGAAACCAAAGGCTGGAATCCCCCGCCTCGTGTGCAGCTCTCCCCACGCTCTCCTCTGGGATGTGACCTCCATGCAGCTGTCCTGTTGGGGATATCCAGGGCTGGGCCGCGAGTGCCCCTCACTGTCCCCGCCTCCGTCTTGACTGGCTGGCTGGATGGTGGCATGTGCATCATTCTGAGAAGAAGACTGAGTTTTGTGCTTTGCCCTGGGAGCAGGCTTTGAACCACAGTGCCCTACCCCCGTTGCTGGCAGGTGACTCCAAACAGACCCGGCCTGCGTATCCTTGAATTCTTGTTTGTGCTGGGTCAGGCCCCAGGCCGCCTCCTGCCCCAGGCCAGCCCCCACACTCTGAGCACTTGGTGGGCAGAAAAGCTTTTGTGTAGTCTACTCTCTCTCTAGGGCCTCAAAGGGCCCAAAGGGCCCAGCAAGGAAGGCAAGGACGTCATGCATCTCTTATAGAAGAGGCCCCCAGCTGGTAAGCACCAGAACCTGGAGCCTGGTCCCTGCTCAGCAGACCAGACCCCCCAGTTCCCAGCACCTGTGGAGGGCACTGGGCCACTCCCTTCTAGAGACTCGGCATCTCCAGGTGAGCCTAGAACTCACGTTTCCACCAGCTACCCTCGTGGTTCTGTTTCACACCGGGTTCAGGACTAGCTCCGCCCCTTCCACCCACATCTCCCTCTCTGGCTGTGGAGGGTGGGTAGAGCGGTCATTGTCACCCTGTGTGTAGCAGTATAACCTGACCACATCTCCTCCGAGTCAGGTCCCTTTTCATGGGGAGCGTCGCAGTGCGTCAGCACATTCATATGTTTGCAGAGGTCCCGTCTGAAAAGTACCCTTGATTTCGCCACTGTTGTGGGGTGGGTTACTCTCTTCATTTCCATCTGACAGTAAGCTGCCGAGCTTTTACGTGCATCTTAGAATGTTTTCTTAAGATAAAAATCTGAGTAGTGAAATCACCTGATCAAGGAATTGGATACGTTTTTCCCAGGTTGCCCTTCAGAAGGGCTGTGCGTGTGGTGTTCGGAGCATTCCATTTCAGCTTCCCCAGAGCTGGGCCTGCGTCGCACGTGTTTGCTTTGCCGAGTTAGTAGGTGAATAGTGGAACTGTGCCTGTCTTCATGAGCACAGTGCGTGCACGGGCCGGAGGTGTGTCTTCACGAGTGCATTGCTGATGGCCCCTGTCCTTGCCCGGATGGGGGGAGCCCGGGACGTGAGTGGTCTCACCACAGCCTGGTTTTGGTGGTTGCTTTGTGGGGTGTGCAGTCCTGGGGCTCCAGGAGGGGAGTGGCCCTTAGTAACCTGTATGTCTGCCCCTCCACAGAACTGTCAGGCCTTCAGCAGCCTCAGCTGCCTGAGCACAGGGACGGAGGACTGCAGCCCCCAGAACCCCTTCGCCTGCCACGTCAGCACCACCAGGGCCTGGACCGCCCTGCTCTCAGCCTCCGGCCCAGGGGGCAGGACCCCTGCTGGGACCCCAGTCCCTGAGCCTCTTCCCCCTTCCTTCGACGACCACCTCGCCTGCCAGGAGGACCTGTCCTGTGAGGAGTCAGACGGCTGCGCCCTGGACGAGGATTGCGGGAGGAGAGTGGAGCCGGCCACAGCCTGGAGGGACCGCGGGGTCCCCGGGAACAGCCTCTGCTCCCTGGACGGCGAGCTGGACATCGAGCAGATAGAGAAGAACTGAGGGGTGCGAGCCCAGGTAGGGCTGGGTGTGCTGGAATCCACAGCCCTCCCTCTGGGCACTAGGTGGGCCCTTGAAGGGGAGCCCAACTCTTGGGCCTGATGAAAGCTTCCTGAGCGGTGTCGGGTCCCAGAGAGGGAGCCCACCCGCTGCCTGGGGGAGAGCCTGGCCTGGCCGCGCCACACAGCTGGGTGTTAGCCTCTCGCCGGCTCCCCGAGCGTGGCAGCCACCAGGTCCTTGGAACTGCCGCAGCCCAGGGAGCAGCTTCGGAGTCTGGGTATTTTCTGCCTTTTTCCTCGAGGGATGTTGGGCAGTCTGTTGCTCCCGGCAGAGCTGGGCACCGCTCTGGATCCCCCTGGTGGGGGCGGTCAGGGAGGGCCTGGGGTGGGGGCCGGGGGCCATCTGCTGCATCAGGGCCCTTCGTGGCCTCGCTCAGGTTCGCTTTTGGGGAGTTGGCCCCACAGCTTCTTTCACTCAGTTCTATTCCGTGCCTTCTCTCCCGGGGCTCCCTGCTTCAGGCTTGGGAAGGTTCGGGAGATGCTTCTTTCTGTAACCCCAGAACCATTTGGCCTTAATTCCAAGTGTGAGAGACAGAATCCCTGGGGTACTGGACCGGCCCTCCAGAGGGTGAGCCTGTGTCCGGAGTCTCAGGCCCAAGGAGCAGCTTGGAGGGTGCTGGTTAGGGGCCTTCCATGCTGGGTGGAAATTTGGTGGATCTGTTGGCTGAAAAGACAGACTCACTGCGCCTCCCGCAGCATGGAGAGCCGGGCCCCGTGGTTCCGCCACCATTGAGGCAGGTTAGCAGATGGCAGCCCTTCTCTGTGGCTGGCTGGTCACTGAGTGATCAACGTGGTTGATTCCGGTGAGTGTAGGGATGGCGCGATACCAGGGGGTATGTCTTGAAAATGACCTGGGGAGACAGGAGCTGCGAGCGGGTGCACAGACGCAGGAGCTGTGCAGTCAGGAGCGAGGGCCGTCCGCTGTCCGCTCTGCGGGGGCCCCTGCAGGGTTCCAAGCACCTCCCATTTGTTCTTGAGGACTGCTGGCTGTAACCAGGGTGTACCACCCACCCCAAGACAAGCCCACACCCTTGTCAGCCTAGGGGGAGCCCAGTTCTGAAGGCTGTGTCTCTGCCGTAGGCCCAGCCACGGGCACAAAGCTGGATTCATACTCCCCGCCCCACCCCTCTCCCGCCCTGGCTCCCTATCTGGGGGCCTCCAAGGAGCCTGGGCCCCTGAGGGCTTGCTCTCGGGCAGCTCCTCTCCCTGCCATGCAGACACCATCACATGGGCTCTGCACTATGGGAATCTGGCTTTTAGCGAACTTGGCGTCTTCCGCAGACAATAGCAATCGGGCTGGCTTAGGAACAAGTGGCTCATTTTCCCATAAGGCTAAAAATAACTGGCGCGCTCCTCGCGTTGGCTGACATGCGTTAAAAGCACTTTTGTAGACACTTTGCTTTTGCTCGTCTTCCATGGACGAGTGAATGCCTCGCTTCTGCAGGTCGAGCCCAGGTGGTTCTCACCCTCTTTCTCCTAAAGAGAAAGATGCTTTTTGGGAAACTTTGTTAAAGCCTTCTTTTTTAACTACATCAAAAGAGTGGTGGTTCAAATTCCAATATGTGGGTGGCGTTTCTTAAAAATCAGCTGTAAGAAGCTGGCAGAAAGCCCCCAGCCCCGCCGCCCTGAGAGATGGTGTTGCCAGCTCAGGGTGGGTGGCACGTGGGGTATGCCAGGCACTGGGCAGGTCCCAGAGTGGGGGAACCAGCTCGCCTCCAGTGGCCGTAACTCCTGCCAGAGGCACATCTACTTGTGACCCCGGACAGCCAAACCCAAAGCTGGGGGCTCTGAGCAGAGACCTCATGCCCTGTCCCTGCCTAGGTGTATCATAGAGACCGTGTCCTCTTAGAGCAAGTGTGGAGGAGGCCGGGCAGTTGTTGGGTGAATGTGGAGGGCACGATCCCATGCCTTGCCCCCAGAGTACCACTGGGCACAGGAGCACACTCCTGTGTGGCCACCGAGGACACACCGCCTCTAAAGCAGGCTTTCCTGTGGAAGGCAGAGGCAGTAAGGGAGGCAGGCGGTACCGGCGGAGGCTGAGGTGTGTGGCAGCCCCCAGCTCCCTTTGTTTAGGGCTGGGATGGGAGGCACAGGGTGTTAAGTGTGTGTCGTGGAGCTGGGGGGTAGGTGACCTGCCCTCAAACCCTGCCTGCCACCTCCCCACTCAGGCCTGGTGGCAGGGTAGGACAAGCCATGGAGCTGACCAAGTCACAGCCTCCCTGCCTCTCTCAAAGCTGGTCCCATCCACCAGCAAGCTCAGCCCCAGGGCACTTAGGCAGAAATGACCCAGCCTTCTCAGACCCCACCTGCCTGTCCTGTGCCCACCACAGCTCCTAGCCCAGGCCCACCACAAAGCAGTCAGGGGAGAAAATGGCGGCTGTCTCTTCTGCTTAGAGAAAGAAATGGCCTTCAGCTGCTTCCATATTTGCCTTTTGACTGGAGAGCGTAGATCCCATCTATAGTTGCCACCCCGTCATCCAAGCCACCATACCGCCTGGAGCAGCCTGTTCCTGCACTCCATCCTGCTGGCCCCAGGGCTTCTGGTCTCAGAGCTTTGGGAGACAGGCTTGCCCAGGAGATGACCGCCCCCCATGTTGGTGTCCCCACAGGCAGCAGATAGCTCACCCCCACCAGCATGATGACCCCAGCCGGGGGCAGTGGCAGAAGCCTCACTTTTGCCCACGAGCCCTGCCTCTGAGGGGAGACTGAGGAAGGGCAGGGTCAGGAGCAAGCCTTGCCAGGCCACCTCCCTGCTCTTGGGGCCCTGAAGAGTGGGCTAAGCCTGCAGGAAAGCCGGGTGGGAGGAGGGGCTTTGCGCCACACGCAACCCACTCATTGTAAAGCCCCCCAACTGCCTGAGGCTGCTGTTCACCTGTGGGGCCCGGGCCTGGGGCCACACTCTCTTGCCTTACTTGCGGTGGAGGCCGGAGCTGCCCTGGGCCTCGGGCTCACAGGGAGCTTGTTCTGACCAGACGGACAGATTTTCATTCTCAGAAAGCCTTACTTTTCAACAGATTTTTGTAGCCAGTTTTGTGAATTTGTACACTGAAAGAAAATTAAAGGGGAAGTCCATATTAAAAAGAAAACCAACCCCAACTTCCAAATGGGTCTCCTGGCGCGGGGGCGTGAGGGGCCATGCCCTAGCTGGGCTGCCTGTCTGAGCAAGCTTCCCCAGCTGTGGAACCCCTGGCCCTCTGCTGGGGGCTCCGCCTTGGTGTCATGCCCGCTGCACCCCTATTTCCACTGATGTGCCATCTGTGGTTACGGGGGTGGTTGCTTGAATCATGGCCACTCTAGACGCCAGCCGGCAGGGAGGCAGCAGTCTGGCTGCACACCGGGGCAGTGATGCCGCACCTTGCCATGTCCACGCTGTTGGGCAAACCCCTTTGTCATGCCTCTTTAAAGAGAAAAGAAGAGAAGGATTTTTTTTTTTAAAGGGCAACCTGAATGGGGATCTTTTAGCCTAGGTAGGATAGTCTGACCTTCTAGCATAGTCTTTTTGGCAAATGATTTGTGTTTTCACGCGTGGGGAAGCTGTCCTGGGGGGTCGGGCGATGGATAGCACAGAGGCTGTCTCGGGGTGCAGGAGCTTCCCGAGCTGGACGGTGTGGGTGTTGCGGAGCTTCAGGAAGTGTGGCGGGCAGAACGCAGAGACCGGGGCCCAGGGCCCACCGCCCCCTCGGCCTGGCCTCCCCGCACGGGCCGTGGCTTGCACCCCAGCCGCTCTAGTCTCTCAGGAATTTGCTTGTTACTTTTACTGTGTAAATAAAGCTTCCTGGTTCAGTCCCCATGTGTCTGGTGCCAGCTGTGTCGTTTCTGTTGGGTGTGGTGAACTGGCAGGTCCCCCCCTGCCCGCAGGAGCGTTCGCTCTGGGCTGGGAGGGACACGATTGGACCCTTCTGTCCCTTCCAAGCCTCGGGGTCTGAATCGGTAAAATGGGGCTAGCAGACGTCACAGAGCTGTGGAGAGGCTCAGGCGCAGGACGCTGTGGGAGCAGCCGGGGAAGGGGGAAGGCTGACCGTGGCCGCAGCTGCGTCATGGGAGCCTTCCAGGGCTGGGCTGTTCCGGGTCCAGCCGGGACCCCCAGGACAGCGGCGGGGAGACACTCCTTATGTCATTTGAGTTAGGAGCAGTGGAGGAGTCTGCCCTTCTGAGCACATCAGCTCAGCCTTCGCCGGTGCCAGGAGGCAAGGCCGCACTGCAGGGTGCTGAGCCGTGCCCAGGATGGCCCCTACCATCCACCCACCGGGGTAGCGCGGAGGAGGCGGCGCACAAAGGTCACCAGCTCCAGGCTTCTGCGCCCGCAGCAGGCAGCACAGTGCGGACTTCTGCTGCATGAATTGCGGGGGCCCCAGAAGCACGAAGCCAGCCCAGCGTGGCTCACTGTCCCCGTGCGTGGCCCTCTGCTTTCCCCGACTTGGGAGTTGGGGTGCTTGTGGCCTGGAGGGCAGGCGTGGAGAGGTTTGGTTTCTGTAACTCAACACTTGCCCACACGATCTGCCCGTGGAAGCCTGGCCTAGAAAACTTGTGAGGGCCAGGGCAGCCCCTCTGGGAATCTCGCTCCCCTCTTTTGATTTGTTTTTCCTTTTAGCAAGATCCTTTAAAAAAAAAAAAAAAAGGTTATGGAAAACGAAACCCAAAAAACAGGGGAAGCAGGGCCGCTGGGAGAGGTGAGCCCCTCATCCTCACTGCTGTCCCCATGGCCCTGCTACACCCAAGGCCCAGGGACTCACTGATCCGAGGCTGGACGCATTGACTTCCCCAGCCCACCCTCACCCCTGCCTTGTATCTGATGGATGAAGCAGGGCAGAGGCCGGCGGGGGCTTCTACCAAGCATAGTGCCCCCACCTGAGGGTAGGGCACCTGGAAGAACCTCTGGCCCTTGTCAGCCCCTTGCCACCCCCCATCCTCAGATGAGGTCCCTGGCTGGATGGCAGCTCCATTCTGCCCTGCCGTGGGGCCTGGCCCTTGGCCTCACCCCAGTGCAGTGCCCAGGCCAGGCGCAGGTGCTTCTGACATGGGACACGCACGGAGTCTCCTTATCTGCACGGCGATCATAACCCTGTGGGCTTACGAGAAAATCAGCGTGAACCCCGCGGCCGCCCTGGATGGCCACCGAGTCCGGTGTGCAGGAAGAGGGCCGGAGGAAAGAAGGCAGGAGGAAATGCCACAGAGACAGTGCTCAGGCTCCTGGGTGACTCTTGGTTTCTTTCTGTAGACTTTTCTGGTAAATATCCTGTAATAACACATGCTGCTTTTATAATGTTAAAAAAAAACCCCAAAAAACAAAAATCAGAACTGAATGCAGGCTGCCCAGTGTGGTCACCGCCCACACCAGGACAGTTCTGAGGGGCAGCAGGGGCTAACGGCACTGCTCTGGGTCGGGAGGCGGACTCCAGAGCTCCTGCCCGAGAGCTGTGCCACACTCGTCTGTCCCACCCTGTCCCCACCTCTGCCCTGAGTGAACATACAGGAGCCTTGCCAGCTGCCAGCTGCTGGCCAGCCTCCCTGAGAAGGGCAGGAACCACCACCCAGCAGGACAGGCCCAGGACGGTGGCACCAGGTCAGGCCTCAGCCTTTGTGAGGGCTCAAGCTGAACGGAAGGAGGAAAGAACTGAAGTCAGCTGGCCCAGGGGCGCTCACATCTGACGTGGAGGCCTCTGCCTCACTTGGCCCAGTTCCCAGCCTCATGTCAGCGAGATGAGGACATGGACATTCCCTCATCGTCCCAGAGCCCCCCTTTTTTTTTTTTTTTTTTTTTTTTTTTTAAGACCAAGCGTTGCTCTGTTGCTCAGGCTGGAGTGCAGTGGTGCAATCTTGGCTCACTGCAACCTCTGCCTCTTGGGTTTAAGCGATTCTCCTGCCTCAGCTTGTGAGTAGCTGGGATTACAGGCGCCCGCCACCATGCCTGTCTAACTTTTTTTGTGTTTTTTTTAGTAGAGACAGGATTTTGCCATTTGACCAGGCTGGTCTCGAACTCCTGACCTCAAGTGATCCGCCTGCCTCAGCCTCCCAAAGTGCTGGGATTACAGAAGAGAGCCACTGTGCCCAGCCCACAACCGAGTCCTGACAGTCATTTGAGGAAGTGGCATTCGCTGGCCTCGGTCCTCCGCCTGGCACCACATGCCGTCTTCTGTGGTTGGGGTTTGGTTGGGATGGAGACTGCGCCCCTGTTCCTGGTCCGCCTGGTCTCTTTGCCAGCCTGAGTCCTGGGGTTGCTGAGCAGGTAGGGGGAAGTCTGGAGGGTTGGGGCCATTCTGCCACCTGCCAAGTAGCTGCGATGGGAAGAGATGGGGTTCCTGTGACGGCACTTGGGATCCTAGGCCCAGCCAGGCCTGAGCTTTTAAGTCCTGAGACCGCCAGATCTCTCGTTGGACTGAGCCACTTTGAGTGTTCGTAAGCAGCACACTGAGCTGGGCTCGGTACTGTGTGGGCCCTAGAGCTGGAAGGGGCGAGGGTGGGTGAGGCCCAGGAAAGGGGTGCTGCTCTCTCGGCCCACCCCT